CAATAAAAGAATTTAAAAAAATAAAATAAAATTTCAGTCTTAACCAATATATTAATAATTACATTAATCACTAATGGCCTAAAATACCATTTAAAAGCCAGAGATTAAGGGCCACAGATTTAGCTCAGTGGTGCTGGGGCCTGCCTGGCAAGTGGAAGGTCCTGAGTTCAATCCCCTGTACCAAAAGAAAAAAAAAAGAAGGCAGAGATTGAATGAGTGGGTATAAAATCATGACCTAACTGCATTCTATCTATAAAAACTCACTTCAAATCTAAAAAGCAGATTAAAAGTAAAATCACAGACCCATTCCATACCTGTTAAATGGATATTTTCAACACACACCCCAGAAAATAAATATTTATAGAGATGTAAAGGAATTGGAATACTTGTGCATTGATAGCAATAATATAAAATGTTATAGCTGCTATGGAAAATAACAATGATTCCTCAATCAAATATATTATTATCATATGATCCAACAATCTACTTGCAGGTATATAACTAAAAAAAAAACCAAAACAACCAAAAATGAAAATGGACCTTCAAATGGGTGTACATAAGTCCATGTTGATAACACTATTATTGATGATAGTTAAAAGGTGGAAGCAACCCATGTGTCCATCAATGGATAAAGGGATAAATCAAATGTGGTATATGCATACAGTGGAATATTATTCAATCTTGAAGAGATTCTGACACATCCTATTGCATGGGTAAAACATGCTGTTAAGTGAAATAAAACAGTCACAAAAGGACAAATATTGTATGATTTCACTTAAGGTGAAATTTAGAGACAAAAAGAATTATGGTTGCTAGGTAATGGAAGAGAGGGAAATGGGCAGTTATTGTTTAATGGGTACAGAGTCAGTTTCAGATGATGAGAAAAGTTCTGGAGGTAGACGGTGGTGATGGTTGTACAACTGAAATGATTAAAGTGGCAAAAAAGTAAACAGAAAAGGATGTTTTATACAAACATTAATCAATGAAGGGCCGGGGAATTAGCTCAGTGGTTCTGACACCTGCCTCCCAAGCACAAGGACCCGAGTTTGATCCCCAGTACAAAAAAAAAATCAATGAAAAGCAGGAGCAGTTATATTAATATAAGATAAAGTAAATATCAGAGCAAAGAAAATTAGTAGAGAGAGGGACATTAAAACATAGTTAAAAGGTCAATTTGCCAATAAAACATGTTAATTCCAATTGTGTATGCACCAAATAATAAGAGTTGCAAAACAGGTAAGGCAATCGCTAATAGAATAGACAGGGGAAATACAAAAATCAGCAATTATAGTTGGATACCTCAACACCCCTCTGTCAGCAGTTGATATAAAAAACTAGACAGAAAAAACAGCAAGACTAAAAGAACTCACCAACATCAATCAGCAGGATTCAATCAACATTGATAGGAAACTCCCCTTAAAAATGGCAGAATACATTTTTTTCAAGTGTTCAAAGAACATATACCAATATAGACCATATCCTGGGTCCAAAATAAACCTTATAAAATGTAAAAAATATAAAAATCATATGAGCACAGTAGAATTAAAGCAGAAATCAATAACAGAAAGAAGTGAAAAAATGTCCAAACAGTTGAAAACTAAATGCACTTGAAAATAACCCATAGGTCAAAGAGGAGGACTACAGGGGGAAAAAATCCCATTTATAAGAAAATGAAGATACAGTACCACATACTGTAGTAACATTTGTGGAGCACAGCTAAACTACTGCTGAGAAGGAAATTTATACACTAAATGCATACATTAGAAATGAAAAGTCTCAACCTAAGCTCTCACCTCAAAAATATAGAAAAATAAAAGAAAACTGAACCCAAAGCAAACAGAAAAAGGAAATAATAAAATATTTGCAATCCATGAAATTGAAAACAAAAACAATTATAGAAATATAGAAAATTAACAAAATGAAGAGCTTCTGAAAAAAATGATCAATAAAATTGGCAATATTTTGGTGAAATGTATAAGGAAAAACAGAGAAGACACACGTTACCAATATTAGGAATGAAACAGAGACTATTACTGCAGACCCTCAAATACCAAAGAATAATATGGATTTTTATGAACAACATATAAATTTGACTATTCATACCACAGGAGCCACTTCCTCTAAAAATATAAACTACCACAATTTATTCAACATAAAATATGTCATTTGAGTGGCCCCTATAATAATTAGGAAATTTAATTTCTAATTTAAAAATTCTCATAAAAGAAATCTCCAGGCCTAGACAGTTTCCAGGAGAATCCTTCAAATGTTTAAAGAATTGTTAGCACCAATTACAATCTCTTCTAGAATGTATGAGAGGAGGAAACATCTACCAATTCATTTTGTGAAGGAAGTGTTAGCCTCATCCTGGACTATGCTAAGATACAAACATCTCAGAATGGCTAATATAAAAAATAGTGACAACAACAAAGGTTGTGCATATTTCACATTGGCTGTCCAATGTGAAATTGTTAAAGTAGCAAAAGAGTAAAGAGAGGCTGGAGAGGATGTGGAGAAATGGGGTCTTTCCTAGACGGCTGATGGTAATGTAAAATGGCACAGCCACTCTGGAAAGGAGTTTGGCAGTTTCTTAAAAAAACGTCTAAGCATACAAGCTACCATACAGCCCAGAAATTGAGCTCTTGAGCATGTATCCCAGCAGAATGAATACCTCTTCACACAAGAATCTGTACAGAAATGTAGCAGCATTATTTGTAATAGCTCCAACTGGAAACAGTCTAGATGTCCTTCAATGGTAAATGACTAAACAAATTGTGGTATATCTATACCTCGGAATACTATTCAGCAGTAAAAAGGAAGGATGTATGGTGGCCAGGTGTAGTGGTGCATACCTATAATCCCAGCATTCTCTGAGGCTGAGGCAGGAGGCTGGCAACTTTGAGACACTTTGTCTCAAAATAAAATTTTTGAAGGGCTAGAGATATAGCTCAGTGCAAAGGGCCTGGGTTCAATCTCCAGTACCGAAACAAAACCAAAACAAACCAGTCATACATGCAACACCCTGGGCTAATCTCTGGATGATTGAGATAGGTATAAAAAGTCAATCTTAAAGGGTTATTCACAATATGAGCCTATTCATGTAATGTTCTTGACACAAGAAAAGTAGAGAAAAAAACCAGATTAGTTGCATCTATTGAGATGATCATATGGTTTTTGTCCTTGACTCTGTGCATATAGTGTAGTACATTTATTGATTTACATATGTTAAGCCATCCTTGCATCCCTGGGATGAATCTCACTTGGTCAGGGTGTATGATCTTCTTGATGATCCTCTATATTCTGTTTGCCAGTATTTTATTGGGGATTTTTGCACCTATGTTTATTAGGGAGATTGGCCTGTAGTTCTCTTTTTTTGGTTGGGTCTTTCTCTGCTTTTGGAATCAAAGTAACACTTGCTTCCAGGAATGAATTTGGGAGTATTGTTTCCCTTTCAATTTCATTAAAGAGTTTGAGAAATAGTGGCATTAGCTCTTCCCTAAATTTCTTGTAGAATTCAGGAGTGAAGCCATCAGGACCTGGGCTTTTCTTTGTTGGTAAATTTTTTTTTTTTTTGGCAAATGTAGAAATTTATTTTAACCAACATTTTTCACTATAATGAAAATTACTCTTCAATATTGATCTAAGCTCCCACATCTGAAGGTGAGGGGAAATATTGCACTTTGCAGTTTCTAGCACTCCTCATACACAGCAAAAAGTTTACAAATATTTTGCTAGTTTTGTTTTTATACACTCTCCCAAATTCATGCATACACTCATTCCAAACCAATGTTAAGTTATCCCCCAAAAAGGGAAAGACTCCAAAAAAAACCATAACCTTAAAATTGCACTAAAGTTCTGTAAAGAAAAAATATAATAAATGTCTTGTACAAATTTCAGAACAGTGAAGTGCTTGCCAAAAAGAGCTGATTATCCCTCATCTTCATTTTCATTCTCCTGACCGGAGCCTTCTGATCTGTCACCCTCCAAGCGGTCAGCTCGGATATGATTCAGTGAAGCCAACATCCTCAATATGAAAGAGGCTGGAACTGTAATGGTGTTTCTAGTCTCCTCCAACATGAGTTCGTTTCGAGTTATAACTTCATCAGAAAGTTTTCGATTAAAAAACCGTGACTCCTCTAGTGGTGACCAGATCTTTATGTCATAAGCTATGCCAGATGAGGCTAGAATTGGGTCAAATGGGTGAGGCTGCAGACAGTTCACCACGTGGTTGTCAGCCTCCAGAAGCATCAGGTGCTCAGCAGTATGCCGATCCCAGATGAAGATGTGGCCCCAGTCAGACCCGCTCATCACAAAGTTAGCACCCCAGAAATTGGCTTCTTTTATCATTGTCCTGGAGTTGATGACCCTTATAAACCATCTTTACTAGTGGCCTTCTAATGTTCAAGGAATCCAGCTCTTCCATTTCTTTCCTTTCTTTTCTCCGCCGGAAGAACTCCTGAATACGTGCAACAGCAGAGCGTCTATCCCCAGGTCCTGCTCAGTACCTTGCCCCTGGGATCAGGACGGGGTCATTATCGCTGTCATCTGTGTCCTGCAGAGCAGAGTCCCTGGCTGATAACTCCTCATGAGGTGAAGGCCCGATGGCTTCTGTCTGGGCCTGGGGCTCTGGACTGGTGGTGCCCTCACTGCTCGTCTGGGCTGAAGGCTCCCCTTCCTTGGCTCTTTCAGACAAAGTGGGCTCTGCCGGAATTCCGCAAGGGCTACCCGGAGTAAGAGCACTCCTTTCTCCTGAGGTGGGATCTGATGGCTCAGGTGCGAGGTTATCTAATTGTGCTGTGTCTATGCGATCCCGAACTTGGTTTTCTGCAGTTGTACCTTCCTGACCTTTGGTCACATCCTCTAATGATTCTTCAGGAGCTTTTGTCTCACTGTCTCCTTCTAGTGTTTGTACTGAGCTCTGTGGGACCAAGGATTCCTCTTGATCCTCAGATTTGCAATGGCTTCCATTTCCTCTAGAACTCGAGGCAGTACTGCTCCATTCATCTGTACAGTTCAGTTTTATTGTGCTTGTAGTTGTTCCTTCTGTGCTGTAGTGCAAACTTAAAACTGGTTCACCCGTCCCTGGTTTAGGCCCAGCTTTTCATTATTGTTATCAGACTGATGATGCGCATGGTGTCCAGAAGCTTCCGGGGACTGACTTTGCTCGCTGTCTGGAGAAGACAGCAAAGAAGTCGAGTAGGGGCTTCCGGTGGAAAAGCGTACTGAATGAGCCTGAGCAGATGTGGCAGAGAACGTAGAAGGCTGAAGAAACTGCTCGGCTGGGACATCTACGTCCATTGAAGTTTCACCCGCTTCCAGATCAGGACTCGATGGGACCGCAGGAACAGTGGAAACATCTGACTGACTTGTTCCACCTCTGGGGAGAGATCTTCCTTGTCCTCTATGGCTTTGTGCAACTTCACTTGCTTCTTCAGGCCATCTTGATAACATATCAGACTTTCTCTGCACCAGTGATACATTGGGACTTTGCTCTCCATTCTCATTCTCGTTCACTCTCGGGCCTTGCTCTGCGTCCAGTATCTGGCCAATCACCACGAAGTCGCAAACGCTTAACTGGAGGCTGCCGTAATTCTTCTCGCCTCTCTTCTGTAGAAGGAGTCTTCAGTTCTCGTGCTGTATCATCTTTTGGGTGGAAAAGATAGAGGTAATCTGAAGAGCAACTAACGAGAATCTCTTGTCCGTCTTCGCTATAACACAGAGATGTCACTCTACAGGACTTATTGTTCAGATAGGAAGCGATAAAGCGAGCAACCATTCCAATAGTCCCTCGACCTGTATAAATCCCTGTAGCTCTTGTTCCCAGCATTCTCCAATCATATATTCGTACTGAGCTATCAGAACAACCAACAGTGAGATAATATGGTACTGGTGGACAAATAGCAACTGATGTGGCAGCACGTCGACAGTTAATTAAAATAGCATCTTTGCAATCTTCTTTTGTGCAGCTAGTTTTGATGCGCGTGTCAAACCACCTAACAGTTCCATCTTCACCACAGGGCAGAAAAGTGTAAGGATCATTTGGTACAGTCATAATCTCATAGGTAGTTCCATAATGGCACATAAACTGGCACTGTCTGCTGGTTTCCGCATCTTGCTCAACATCAGTATAAAATATAACTCCATCTCCAGAGCAAGATACAATCTGCTTATCATTTGTGCATGGTAAGAACTTTGCACTAAATATATTTGCTCGATGGCCAGAACGAATTGTTGTCAAAACTTCCTATTTCCGATGTTCTTCCCTCGGTGCAGCATGCACAGGTTCTCCAGTTCTCGGCCCTCCAGTTCCGGAGGCCCTCTACCACCACGGCACCAGAGTCTTGCAGGGTGGTGAGCTCCTCCAGGGCCCAGCTCCTTTCTGCTGTAAGGATTACTAATTACTAACTTGGTGTCATCTGAGCCAGATAAAATATATTCTCCAGTGTCATTCCAACAGATTGTATTAACACAGCCATCATGCACATTTAGGGTCGCTTCAAGTTTCAATCTTTGGATAAACTCTTTTCTTCCCAGGTAGGGGCTCCGGAGCCTGGACGGATCCTCCAGCCCCAGCGACCGTGGCCTCACGTGCCACAGCAGGTGTGGGCAGGAGCCGCTCCGAGACATGGCGAGGCCGCGCGGGCTGGGACCACCAAGCGGGGGCGGGGAGGACGGGGCGGGGATGCAGCCGTATCAACCCCCGCGCTCCTGCGCTCCTCCGGCCCGGTCCGCGAGTGGGGCCTCATGAGCGCAGCAGTTTAGACGGCGGCCCGGCCGCGCCTCCTTCCCAGGCGGAGCCGTGCCCCGACCAAAGCTCGCCTCATACTCTCCGCCTCTGACCTGTTGGTAAATTTTTAATTATGTTTTCAATTTCACTGATTGAAATTGGGGTGTTTAGAATTTTTATATCTTCTTTGTTCAACTTTGGTAATTTATATGTATCTAGAAATCTGTCCATTTCTTCTGTGTTTTCCATTTTATTGGAGTACAGGTTCTCAAAGTAGGTATATGATCCTCTGGATTTCTGCTGCATCTGTTGTGATTTCACTCTTTTTGTTCCTAATTGCATGGATTTGAGCCTTTTCTTTTCTTTTTTCTTTTCTTAATAAGGTTGGCAAAGGGATTTATTGATTTTATTTATTCTTTTGAAGAACCAACTCTTCAATTCATTGATTTTTTTGGATCATTCTCTTAGTCTCCATTGCATTGATTTCTGCTCTGGTATTTATGATTTCCTCCCTTGTACGAGATTTGGGCTTGTGTTGCTCTTCTTTTTCTAGGAGCTTCAGGTTCAAAATTAGGTTGTTTATTTGAGCTTATTCTGTTTTCCTAGTATGAGCATTCACTGCTATGAATTTCCCTTGTAGAACTGCTTTCATTGTGTCCCAAAGATTCCTGTATGTTGTATTGGCATTATCATTTAATTATAGAAACTGTCTAATTTCTTCTTTAATGTCCTCTGTGACTCATTGGTTGTTCAGGAGAGTGTTATTCAATTTCCATGTGTTTGTGAAGTTTTTATGCTATCGATCTCCAATATACAGGGGATAACTTCAATTCTTTTGCATTTAAACATGTTCTATGAGCGAGCATGTAATCTATTTTGCAGAATGACCTGTGAGTAGCAGAAAAGATTGTGTATTCTGATTTTGCAGGGTAGAATACTCTGTAGACATCTATTAAGTCCATTTGTTCAAAAGTTTTGTTCAGTTCTAGTGTTTCGTTGTTGATTTTCTGTCTAGATAATCTGTATGTTTGTGACAGTGGGGTATTGAGGTCCCCCACTACAACTGTATTAGTGCTATTTGGTTTTTCATGTCCAGTAATATTTGTTTTATATAGTTGGGTACACTAGTATTTGGTGCATATATATTAATTATTTTCATCTCTTCCTCTTTGATTGTTCCCTTTATAATGATGTAGTGACCTTCTTTGTATCTCTTAATTAGTTTTGGTTTGAAATCTACTTTGTCTGCAAATAAGATACCTACCCCTGCTTTTTTCTGGATTCGTGTTACATGAAGAACTGTTCTCCGTCCTTTTACTTTCAGTCTGTGAATTTCTTTTTGAATTAAATGTGTTTCTTGTATATAGCTTATTGTTAGATTTTGCTTCTTAATCCACTCTGCCAGTCTATTTCTTTTGATTGGTGAATTGAGGCCATTAACATTGATGGTTATAACTGATATGTATTGACTTATCCTTGTCATGATATTTTCCTGTTGTTGACTCTTTTATTTTTTGTTTCCCCCCGCCTTTTCCTTTAATTTTTTGCCTTATCTAATGGCTTTGCTCGTTTGGGCCTCATGAAGTTGTGACCCTCATTTTTTTTTTTCTAGGATATTATTTAGAATCATTTGGAGTACTGGTTTGGTATTCATGAAGTTTCTCAGGTGTTCTTTTTTGTGGAAGTATCTTATTTCATCACTGATTTTGAAAGACAGTTTTGCAGAATATATCAATCTAACATAGGTTAAGTAGAACTCTTGAACACATTGGCATAGGAGAAGACTTTATGTACAAAACCTCAGTCGCATGAGAACTAGCACAAAGAATCAACAACTGAGATCTCATTAAAAAGCTTTTGCACAGGGCTGGAGATTTAGCTCAGTGGTTCTGGTACCTGGCTCCCAAGCGCAAGGTCCCAAGTTCGATCCCCCATACAAAAAACAGAACAAAACAAAAACTTTTGCACAGAAAGAGAAACCAACAGAGTGAAGAGATAACTCACCATGTGAAAAAAATTATTACCAGCTGTTCATTAGACAAAGGTCTACTATTTGGAATATATAAAGAACTTTAAAGAAATCAGACCTCCCACATTTAAAGACCCAAAATAAAAATGGGCATCTGAAATGAACAGAGATGTCTCAGACAAAGAAGTAGACACAGCAAATAAATATATGAAAAAATGTTCAACATCACTGGTCACTCAAGAGATGCAAATGAAAACAATGCTGAGATTCCACCACAACCCAGAAGGAATGGCTACTATCAAGAAATCAACCAACAACAAATACCGGTGGGGTTGTGGGGAGAAAGGAACCCTTCTCCATTGTTGGTGGGAATGCAGACTTGTGAAACCACTGTGGAAATCAATATGGAGATGTCTCAAAAAACTAGGATTAGAGTGCCCATTTGACCCAGCTATTCCCCTGCTGGGTATCTTCCCAAAACAATTAAAAGAATTGTACCATAATGATATATGTGCACCCATGTTTATTGTGGTAAGTTTGTAATAGCTAAAACTTGGAAATAGCCTAATTGCTTATCAACTGGAGACTGGATAAAGAAGTTGTGTTTTGTTTTGTTTTTTATAAAATGGAGTACTACTCAGCTGTGAAGAGTGAGAAACTAGAGACATTTATAGCTAAATGGATGCATATTGAGGACATACTCTTGTAAATATGAAATAGTTTCTCTGGTGTGAGAAACTGAAAGTATAAATAAGTATAAATAAAATGTATAGTTGATAATGTGAAATAGGAAGAAAAGTTCTAAAGGGAAAGGGGAACTTGGAGGGGTAGGAGAAAGGAAAGAAAGGAAAGGAAAAAATATGAGAAAAGGAAAAAATGGAAACGAAGTTTTTGTAAATAGGGAAGGGTGCAGAGGTTGAAGGGAGGGTAGGGAAATGGGGAAAAAATAAGAACCATGATATTCCATGCAAAGATACATATTCCCAAAGAAGAATGTCGTCATATTGTATACCTAAAAATGTAGTAATAAACTTAATGAATTTTAAAAAAACAGATTAGTTGATATTAGGAGTTACAAAGGAGGTGAGCTTGGGATAGAGGTGGATACGTCCACCAAGGGCAATTTGAGAGCACCTAGTGGTAATGGAAATGTTCTGTTTTGGCTATCAATGATAAGGTCCTGGTTGTGATACTGAGGTACAGTTCTGTAAGATTTCATCAATAGGGGGAACTGAATAAAGAATACATAAAATCTCTATGTATTATTTCTTA